ATCTTCATATTATAAGTATCACACTTGCTTCAACTGCAGAGGCTAAAATCATGATATAAAAGATTGCACATAGTGTACACAGTTAAGAGAAGCAAGAGAGTTAAAAAACTAGTAGAATCAGTGAGCTCAGAGACACTCACTGATATTCTATGAAAAGTCTTCAAAGTGAAAGAGATATCTGTGTTAAATGACTCTCTGAATCCTGTGAATATCAAGAGAAAGCAGGCTTGTAACTGAGATACAGATAAGAATGAAGCAGATACTCATCTCAATACTCTGAAGCCTAAAATATTAATATATAAAGAACACTTAAGTAAGAATTGAGAGATGGCTGCAAAAGTATTAGCAGACATAGAAGCTTCTACACAATATATTAATAATCATATAATTTAAAGACTGAAAGAGATCTGCTGAGTGAAGAATTCTCAATGTATAAGATTATCTGATAACTGATATTTAATATCACCTGTAAGAGTAAGAGTTTTCTTGCACTTTAAAGAATGATCTTGCTATATTTGAGCACAAGAACTGCAGAACATGAAATATGACCTTATTCTCAGACTCAATTGATTTCAAAGGTTCAATCTGCAGATTCAATGATGTACATGTCATATACAGTTAATCAATAGAAAGAAAACAGTTTATACAATTCTATCAACTGATATGAGAAGAACATTTCATGCTTCTAATATAGAAGGGTTAAATCTGCTTACATATTAATAAGTAAAGAGAATGATTTACAAGACCTCATTTAAAAGCATTCTGTATGTCATACAGAACCCAGAAGCAGAGAAAACCAAGATAAAGAATATACAGAAGAATAGATGTATGAAGAAAGTTCTGAAGAAGTATAAGAAGATCTTATAAACAGATCTTTCATCAGAATTACTGCTGAAATGAGAATTTGTACATGAGATTGACATGAGAAATGTGAAATTAGTCAATCAGAATACATACTCTCTGTTACAAATATATCTTGAAGAACAGAAGTGCCAGATCACAGATCTTCTAGAACATAATCTTATACAACTCTTATTAAGTACATGAGACTTTTCAGTTCTATTCTTGAAAAATACAGATGAGAAGTAATAGATGTGTGTCAATTATTGAGCACTCAACAAGCTCATAAACAAGAATGAATATTCACTGGTATGAATTCAACAACAGTTGAATACAGTTGAAAATGCCTGATATCTATCAAAGATTAATCTTCTCTCAGAATACTGACAGATTTATATAGATAAACTATTAGTACTGTGAACTGTATTTAATATATAATGAGAAAAGTTCAAATTTCTGATAATATCATTTAATCTGATAAATGTGCTCATTATCTTTCAAATGATGATGAATACAATTCTTCATAAACAGAATGAAATCTCATATCTTATATATCTGAATAACATTCTAGTCTTCTCAAACTTATACAATGAATATCTGAAATATCTCAATGAATTGCTTATAACTCTGACAGAGTATAAGCTCTACACTAAATCAACAAAGTGTGTGTTTGAAATGAAAGAGTTGAAGTTTATAGAATATATAGTGAGTGATAACTATATACATCTCATCTCAGACAAATTGAATATCATAGTAAATTAACTATGACTGAGAAATGTATATTATGTATAACAGTTTCTTAAGTTAGTCTCATATTACTGCAGATTTATCAATGATTTTGTATAAATAGCTGCATCACTCTCAGATCTCTTAAGAGAAATAAATGATAATCTGTGAAAGAAGAAGTTTTATTCAATCATCTGAAATACTGTGTGTGAGAAGGCTTTTCTTACAATGAGAGAGTATGTGATGACATTCTCAGTGTGTATTCAATCAGATTGTGATAAACCTTTCTATATCAAGACAGATATATCTGAATAAGCTATTAGAGATACTCTTCTACAGATGAGTAAGAACAGTAAGATGCACTCAGTGATATATAATGATAGAAAACTATTGAGCACTGAGCTCAATTATTGTATGAAAAGAAATTGCCACCAATTAAACACACACTGATATTGTGAGATAGATATATTAATAATAATCATACAATAACAGTGATCACAGATCATAAAAGTCTTATCTATCTATAATTAATAATGAAATCTTTCAAATACTTAGCATGTTGAATCTCAGAGTTTTAAGCATATATTATTCATATTAAATACTAGAATGAATCAGACACTGTGATACCTGATGCAATCAGTCACAGATCTGATTTCATGAATAAGAGTTCTGTAAATCAGGTATAAGAGAAGTTTGTATTAAACATACTGAGAGAATATAAGAAATTAGAATGAGTAAATACAATGATCTCTCACTTCAAGAATAGTAAGATATCAGATAATAAGTATCTTATAAAAGTAGTAGAAGAAATGCTTCTGAACTTCAAGCTGAGAAAATTAAAAAATAATATTATGCTTTATCACAATCTAGAATTCACAGAAGCTCTCTATCTAGAATATTCATTTAAATATGACTTGATAACTTATATACACAAGGAATTCAGTCACTTAGAAAGCTCTGAACTGATGCATGTACTTGAATCAAGAGTGTACTGATCAAGCATGACTGAGAACAGGCAGATATACACTCACAAGTGTCTGAATTATCAGATTATAAAAGAATGAAAGAAAGGATTAGAATGTGAGAAAGTGCAACATCAGATCAAATGTACAATACAAGTCTTTAAATAATAAGACATGAACTTCATAGACATACTGCTGTGAACATCAAATGAAAATTATTGAATAATCACTGCTATTGATTATGCTACTGACTGGTCAGTTGTGAAAGCAGTTTCAGAGATAATAGAGAGAATGATGATGAAGTTTCTACATGATAAGATCTATGTTAACTATGAAATGCTATGCAAGATTCTAACTGATAATAATATAAATCTCATAGAAGAAGCAGTGAGACATTTCATGAGCCAGTTACAGACAAGACATTGTAGAACAACATCATATCATTCACAGATGAATGAGAAGATGAAACACTTGAATAAAATCCTGAACAACATGCTGATGAAATTTCAAGTGAACAAGCCTACAAGATTATGAGATGAATATCTCAGTCAGGCACTATTAGTCACATGAATTCAGCAGCATGCAGTCTTCAAGTGTTTATCATTCTATCTGTTATATGAATTACATCCGCGCATCCCAGAGAATGCTTCAGAAAAGGTGAGAAAGAGAACAACAGTTGCAGATGCAACAGTCACAGATGCAGCAGAAACAGCAGTTACAGATGCAGCAGTAGCAGTTGCAGACACAGCAGTCACAGACACAGAATCAAGATTGAAAGAGATCAGTCATACACATGCAAAAGCTAATAAGTTACTCCCAAACTGAGCAATTCAATCAAAAAGAATACAAGACTCACTAGTTAAGAAATCAAGTCTCAAGATGAGAACATGAGTTCTTCTACATAATAAGAGTTCTGAGAAGTTTCAATCTAGATGATTTGAGCTCTATAAAATACTCAAATCACATTCTCTGAGAATATACACATTAGAGAAATCAGAGGAACAGATCTTATATAACTTAATAAATAATTAATATCTTATAAAGATGAAGATGTAAGACCTGAGCAGATTATAATCATCTACAGTACTATTATCAGTGTTGAAAAAGAAGAGACTTACAATTGAAAAGTCTTACAAAGTAAGAGAAATCATAGACATTTATGAATCAGATAATCTCACTTATTTCAATCTTTTTATAATTATAAGAAAAGAATGAAAAGCAATGAAGAAATCAGATGAATATCACACTTCAATAAGTGATAAGACTGTAGTCAGTTATATAATAATATACTGCAGACAGTAGATGCAACACAGTAAAAAGTAATCTCAAAACAGCAGACTTACACATTAATCAGGTCAGAGAAGAAAAAGAGATTCAGAGTTAAATTCAACTGTTTATATCAGTTCAATCACTGAGATAACAGAGAACAAATTATCTGAAACATCTGCAGATATATGAAATCAAGTTATCTCAATCTCTGAAGACACTCAGAGATCAGATGAGATTAGTTTCAATGAGCTATTCACTGTAGTAATCTAAGCAGGTGAAGAGAGACAGTATAATACATGAGACAGAATCACAAAAGATGAAAGCTACTGAATCTAGTCACTGAACACTGTACTGTATAAAGATTATATAAGAGTAGTGACTAGCAGACAAAGAAAAAAGTGTAAGAAAAGAAAAGAGAGAATGAATTAATTATCAACTGTAAGAATCAGCTGTAAAAGACAAATGTTATCATACATCTCATTCATTTTCATACATCACACATTTAATCTATTTTCAACATCATATTATCTGAAAAGAAAAATGTTAAAAACAAAGAAAATCTGAAAACTCAAGATCTGTAAGAGATTTAAGAGCTGTAAGCTACTCTTATAATAACACTGCATATATCTGTGATTTCTATATCACTCTGTATACAATATTAATATCATTTATCACAAGAGTGACTGGAATAATAATATAGAAATGCATACACATGTGCATAGAAAAATTGAAGAAGAGTGCAGAATCTGCAGAATCAGAAGCTAAAATAGAAAGAGTGAAGATGAAAGAAATGAAAGAAGAAGAGAGTACAGAACTGAATAAATAATGATAAGAGTCACTCACAGCTGAACACTTATAACTCTGTGTATGTATAATCTTCTCTGCAGAAGAGGAAGAGAGAGCAATGAAAGAAGCTTAAGAGTGAGAGAAGATAGTCTCAACAGTATGATCATCTTCAATTAGAATGATCTCTGACACTGAAGTAACTAAGAATCATTATTAGTGTATAAAAACTACAAAATGAGAGATGAGAACAGTTACTGAATAAATACTCACTGATCTTAGAGTTATACACATAATTACAACACATACAAGGCTTCTCAGAAAGAGAGAGAGAGACACAGAGAAATGCAGAAAGCAGAATACAGTATACAAACAGCTCATTCTCATGATAACATCTCAGACAAGACATATAAGTCTCACACTCATGAGTGTAAAAGAGTATGATATTCACATTCTCATTTCTGAAAACACAGGTATCTTTTATCTGCATTATGAAGTTGAATAACAGATATCAGAGAATAGACTGATACAGATCTATCATTTCAAAGAAATTCATCAGAGTAGATATACTCACAATATTGAACTTTACAGTTGTAAAAACTTTCTTAATATCTGTGAATACTATAATTTCATATATAATAAAACTTATAATGATTTTCTCTAAGAACAGAAAAATCAGTATTAGAAAGAAAAGATGAAAAAGAAAAAGACTTATAATCTTAATACTGTTAAGAGACAGAGTAATTCTCTGATATAAATAAATAATTATCTCATTATAAATATTTAAAATGAATGTAATAATTAATATCTGTGACTGCACTTCAGATAGTTATGTTGTATACAGTCTTTGTATAATAAATCATTTTAGAAATTAGTAAGAAGAGTGAGAGTGTATATAGTGAGAAACATAATTCATTAAGTCTATACAATATCTTCTTGAAATAGGAAGAGCTAATAATAAAAGCAGAGACAGTAGAAGCAGAGAGAGCAGAAGTAGTGAGAGTGAGAATCATGAAAACAGATATAGTAAGAGTGAGAGAATCAGATACAGAAGCAGATGTAGAAGATTGAGAAGAAGTGACAGAGAAAGAAACAAAGAGAGTAGAGAGAGACATGAGAGACTCAGTTATACATGATATGAGTAATTTCTTCATTATCACATCTCTCAAGTTCTCAATCAACAATTCAATATTGAGATTATGATCATTGACAGATACAGATCTGTCAACATATGAAGATTCTACATAAATTAAAATAAATATATGAGCATCTGCAGTCATGCAAAATAATCAGAAAACATAATCAGAAAACATGATCAGATGCTTATAAGAGAAAAGAGAGTCAGAGATATATAAGAAGATAAAGAAGATGTACTATTTATAATAGTATGTTCTGATAACTATTAGAAGATAAATAAGCTCTGATCACATTTCACAGTGTGTTATATTTACTGCTAATGAACTGTCTAGTATGAGTACTACAATGACACTTGTTATAAGAATAAGAAGTCATTATCAGAAACACATATAATATGATAGATAAATGAATAAAAGATGTTGAACAGAAGAAGAGACAGAAATCTTGAAGAAGATGATAATATTCAATAATAATGATGATGAAGAAGATGATTGAAGAATGAGAAAAGTTAGTGAATAAGTGATATAATATAGTGAAAGTTTCTTTATGTGAACATACACAGAATGCTAGCTGAATCAGAGATAGATTATACAATCATGAACACTAGTGGCGCGTTAATCCGCATGAAGGTAGGGTATACATCATGGTCATGTGAGCATGACTGAATCTGATGAGGGAGAATGTGGTTTGGAAGAATGTATGACTGTTGAATAATAACACAGCTGCTTCTGAACTTGCTTATGAATGTAAAGGTGCCATAGCAGCCATCAATTAATTTAGTGTACTGTATATAAGAAGCCGGCGTACGCCTGTAATTGTATGCTGGCTCAAGCAACCTTTGAATCACAAGATGTCAAATGATAAGTATTTTATAAAAGTATTAGAAGAGATGCTTCTGAACTTCAAGCTTAGAAAATTGAAAAACAATGTTATGCTTTACTGCAATCTAGAATATGCAGAAGGTCTCTATTCAGAATATTCATTTAGACAACTTAATAACTCACATGCACAAGAAATTCAGCCACTTAGAAAGTCCTGAAGTTAACTTCTTCAAGAATCAAACTTTGATACTGAGTAAAAGTGCATCATTTCTCATTCAAGCTATTACTGCTTTCTTTCTGAAAAATCTGAGATAAAATCAAGAGTAGTGATCTATGGGAGAAAAAGATCAAGATATCAATTTAATCTGAGATTTGATATCATATCTGACTCTGATATTCTAGTGAGTGATATTATAGATAAAGAGAATGAGTTTGATACTATTCAACTCATAAATATCTATAATGAAAAGTCATTGAAAGAAAACAACAATACCTGAACAATTGATAAAGGATTTTTGAATATAACTCTCTTACAAAACTTTATAATTACAGGAGACTTCAATGCACATCATCTCTGATGAAACTCAGAATGCATAAGAGCAGTAAGAAAAGATAAACCGGTTAAATGAACTTTTAAACATTCAATAGATTTAGTTAACAAGTCTGATCAACAAACATTCTTTAGAAAAGGCATGAAACAGAAATCTATTATAGATCTAACTTTTATGTCACAAAATCTAATTGAAAAAAGACTTATAAACTGGTTTATTAATTCAAATGAAACCTCAGGATTGAGTCATGAGATTATTCAATTTAATATTGAACTGAGTGAAAAACATAGAAGTGAAAATCCTCTTCTCTCTAATCAGTAAAACTGTGAAAAAGCTTATTGAAAAGCAGTTGAAGAAAGAGTAAAACAGCTGAAATCTGAAAGATAGAGTGAGCTCTATTGAAATCAAAGTCAAGATATCTCAAATGAAATGCTTGAGAATAGAGTAAAGCTGATTACATCTATTCTACTAACAAGTATTAGAGAAAATATTTCAAAGAAAAAGTCTTCTGAATATTTCAAATCTTGATGAAATGAGAATATCACTTCTAAAAGAAAGCAATTAGTCACTGCTAAGAGAGATTGAAAGAATACCTTAATATCTGATAAAGAGGTCAAAGTTATTCAAAATGAATATTTTTCAGATATTAAAAGTGTCAAAACAGATTACTAGAACAAATTTCTTAAAAAAGTATAAGAAAAAGAAGTTTTTAAAGCCTTCAACTATACTAAAACAAGAAGTGTAGCAAAGCTTTCAATCTTAGAATATGAATTTCAGAAATGAATCATATACAGCAAACTCTTTTAAGGAAAAGTGTCAAGCTTTTATAAGAATTCTCTTTCAAAACTCATCACATTTAGAAGAGAAGAATATGTCATTTCATGAATATATTGATGAAAATAACTTGAAATGATCTGAGCTTACATGTGATAAACTAGAGTCAGTAATATTCTCAAGTTCAATTAGAACTGCTGCAGGGCCTGATTCAATTAATCACTTAATCAGTCAAAACACATATTCCTGCTTGAAGAATAAATATTTTGAGGTCTTTTTCAATCTCTTAAAAAATGATTATGATTCTGAATGCTGGAGAGAAGCTACAGAAGTAATCCTTGCAAAACCTAATAGAAAAGCTTCAATTTCTAAGTTATATAGAGTAATATCTCTGTTGAACTGTTTGAAAAAAATTCTAGAAAAGATAATAGCTACTAGATTATCTTTTATAAGCTTTATCAGTGATTCTCTTATATTTAATGAATAAATGAGAGATAGAAAACAATGTTCTGCAATTGACACTGTTTTTTCAGTTATTCATGATATTTAAGTAGCAAAGTATGAAGGCCTGGTCTCAACTGCAGTTTTTATTGATATAAAAGATACATTTAATCATGTTTCAAAGTCTAAGATGATTCAAACATTGAAAATATTAAAACTGTCACTTTCTCTAATAAAATGAGTTAATTATTTTACATCTAAAAGAATTATACAACTATTCTTTGATGAAAGAAAATAAGATAAGACTGAGATAAAAATAGAAGTACTGTAAGAATCTTTAATATCACCTGTTTTATTTGCAATATACACTGCATATCTATTCAAGAATAGAGAGATGAAAATAGTGAGATCTTCCAGTTATGTAGATGATATTGATCTACTCTACAGTTCAAAGACAATCAAAGAGAATTTAAAAGTGATTGAGAAAGTAGTAAAGAAAATCTTTGTTAGAGCAGATATCAGTCTAATTCAATTTAATGTGAATAAAACTGACTTAATTCACTTTTTTCCCAGATTTAATGAGAAAGACCTAAGTCTAACTCTTTTAAATAAAGAGATTAAATTCAGTTTGAATGTCAAATGACTAGAAGTGTGATTAAACTCCAAGTTGAATTTTAAATATCATATTCAACAAAGAATCATCAAGACAGAGAGACTACTGAATAGTATAATCAGACTATTAAATACTGAGAGAGGTCTATTCTTCCAGGCTATGAGATAGTTATATATAGCCTGTATTACCTGAGTAGCTGATTATGAAGTTCAAGTTTGATGAAATAATCAAGAGAATTTCACTGAACTCTTTCAAAGTCTGCAGAAGAGAGCTTTGAGAAGAATTCTGAGAGTATTCAAATCATCTTCTATTAAAGCAATGAAAATTGAAGCTTCAATTCCTTCTTCTGCTATTAGATTTAAAAAGATCTGTATAAACTATGCTCTGAGAGTTATAAAGATAAGCTTAAATCATATAATCAGAGAAAGAGTCTCTTCTTCATTTTCATCAGTTAACTCAGAAAATGAACTGAATTGAAATAGATTTCTTGATTGAAATGAGAATAATACTTTAAAGAAAATGCCCTCTCAACTGTATAGATGTCACGCTCCCGGCCGCGTCAAGGCCCCGTTGCGGTTCCACACGGCCCATCGCTTCCATGCGGATGATTCCATCCTGCCCGAACTGGTTTCCAACCACTCTATGACATTATTCAGACATATCATATGAAGATCTGATTGATGAATATGAGAACCCCGCTTCTATACAAGGTCAGCAGATTACTCTTCCTTAGCAGTGAGACACTGCTGAGGTATTGCCTCAGCTATTCTCACTCATGAAATGAGAGAAGAGTATTCACTCATTGTCTATATAGAATAGCTAGATGCTGACTTCTCATCAAAGAAGTCAGTGATTCATTTTTCTTCTACTGAAATATATACAAGAGTTACTGTGTTTCTTATGCAATCTTCTTAGTATACTAAGTATCATATCTGTGATATTCTTGCAATAATCCTGTAGTCTACAAGCTTGCTATTCAAGCAAGATTGTCAAGCCTACTTATATGACTTCTTAATAACTACTTCTATGTGATATCACTGACTAGTCACTGCTTTGATTCTGTTATATTACAATTCAAATTACTCAATCTGATTATAAGTTTGAATCAGTCAAGCTCTATTAACAGATTAATATGACCTTATACATCTATGCTGAGACTGACTTAATCTCACTCTCTGAAGAAAACTCTACATCATCTTCTAGAGTGTGTACAACTCTATCTCAGCAGAAATCTGATATTTCTGAATCTGCTGCATATTTTGATATGGGCTCTTCAACTGCTCTGCTATCACCGCGGCCTCTACACATCTACATCTATCATGAACATAGAGAGATTAAGATTAAAGATTCTCTGAGATATAAGAGAAACATATTATCTGAATTTCACAGCTTTATCTGTACTCTTGAATGAAAATTCTGTCTTAATCTGAGCCAGTATAATACTCATAAGATATGAGTAATATATGCTGTCAATCTTCTTAAAGACATCTCTGCAACTACTTGAGTTATCAAGAAAAGAGGGCTTGAGTATACTGATACTGCAATGACTTAAGAAGCATTCAAGAACTTTCTACTGAATTAAATCAAAGATCACTGTAACTGTAGCTTCATAGCAGTGCAGTGATTCAACTCATTATATTAATAAGATGATGAGAATTCTTCTGATTTCAATGCAAGATTTGAAGAATATTGAGAGAAATTAACTGATGATTTGAATCAATTAAAGATACAGCTTTATCTTATGAAGCTGACTCACAAGATGCAGATAATAATATCACAGTATTGAAGTTCATTAATCAATTACACTGAGCTTGTCAACCTGACTTCTCAGATCTATTTGAATAATCAATTCTCTGAGAAAAAGATTAATAAGATCTCTTCTAAGTAATCAATAACAGAATCT